TTGGGTTGGTTAGGGGGCTGTGCGGGGGGGGGGGGGGGGGGGGGCGGGGAGGCAGAGTTTTACCTATGGAATATGATGTGCAACCATGTATGTCATTTGCAGTGCTCATAGATTGTGTTATATAATCATAATGTTCTGTTGTCCTGCTTTGTAAACTTAACACATTGCTTTGACTGTTGTCAATTTTAAAGACTATTGGCACAACTGCTCTTTTTGCAGCTCTACTGGGAGAACTGCAAATCACGCACCAGGAGGTCACATGATACAGACAGGAGACTTAAAAGAGACTGTCTTGCTCTGTTGCCCTATTAAGTGTTATCCTCAATGATAACCTATAGAGAGGGAAAAACATTAGTGATAGGATTGTTAAAGCTATTCAGGATGATATTGCCCCAGCAATAACCCTGATAACCCACAACCTACATTGCAATTTTAAATATGGGTCTTGCATAAAATGTCAGCCCAGTTCCATTTCAGCTAACTGAGCTCACACACTGCTCAATTTGAGAATTCCAAAACACCAATTTTATCCTAAAAAATTTCCCTTGTTTAAAGCCCATTTGTGACGGGTCCATTTGCTGAGGTCTGGAAAATGTAAACCAAATATAGGAGTAATTGCTTGACAGCAAGTCAAGGATCAGTTGAAATCCTACCAAAGGTTTTTTTTTTTTTTTTTTTTTAAATAGACTGATTAATCATCCACTATTGCTGTTTCATTGTGTTTAAATGAGCAGTTTGCTAGGTTTTTCAGCAACAAATTAAAGTTGCTGATTCGATTTTTAGGATTTAGGCAATATTCTCCAGTTTCAATTTTTTTCAATAAAAAAAAAAAAATCAATATCACTTGGGGATTTCTGATTGAATGAATATTAGATGAAGCCAAAGTAAGGCTTATTATAAGTAAGATTTTCTTTCTTCAATAAATAAAGACACACTGCAAAAAGGGCAAATTTGAAAGTGCTTCAGCTTTCTCCTTCCAAGATAAAGTAAATGAAGCATGAACTGGAACTTGGGTGATGTATGATAAAGCAGACATGTGGGTGGAGATAGGAAGGGTCCAACCTTATATCAGCAGCATTTTCTTGGCAGTGATGGTGGTTGTGCTTTCAAGCACAGAAAAAGTGCTTATGAGGGAATGCCATATTTTTTGTTTTTAAAATTCCTTCCCTCCAGGTAATTTCCATTCTACATTTAATGTCTCTTTAGATGTAAGCCACCATTTTTGGGAAAAAATAAAAAATAAAAAAATCACAAATTGTTCTTGTATGTAATGCATTTTTATTGACTCCCATTACTCTTGTTTTGCAGGAAGTGCTTACAGAGAATGCCTGGATAATGGTACATGGGCATTGAAGATCAATTACTCCAACTGCGAGCCCATTTTGGAGGAGAAGGTTAGTGTGGTGACATGAAAACAATTCCTCATTTTCTTATAAAAACACAGATTGCTATCACAGATGGATACTCAAAAATATTGTTGCCACTTATTAATGCTCATTGAAATGTGTTATTTTAATAATGCAGATGCCTCCCCGCCATCAGCCCTCAAAAAGCAAACACAAATGCTGTCCTGCCTGTTTAAAAGATGGGGGATAAAGAGTGCTGTTCATTTGTGTTGTGCCTTGCTTGACCTGGTTACCTCTAATTTTCTCTCTAGACTCAGTATTTCTGGGTCTTGCTCTATTTCCTTTAATCATTTTAAACCAAGACATCTGAAGTGTGTCATTGACATTTGCTTTTCAATTCATGTTATCTAGATCTAACTGTATTATGGATTTCTTGCTGTTATTCATACGGCAAAGAAACGATCTGCAGTTGTAATCCTTAGTAATTGTTAATGATCTAACAAGGTCTGCATTTGAAAAACTTATTTATTTATTTATTTTTTTTTACATCTCGCTATATAATAACTAATGTGTGTGTTTCCTTTTCAGAGAAAATATCCTATGCATTACAAGATAGCTCTGATCATCAACTACCTAGGCCACTGTATTTCTGTGGGAGCTCTAATCGTGGCCTTTATTCTCTTCTTATGCTTAAGGCAAGTATAGAAATAATCTGAAATGGGGCTCCTGTGTGCAACAGCCCAGATAGAAGATAATCAGTGAAACTGATGTTGCATCCTAATGCTGCTTGTCATTAGCTTGCTCTTGTCAGATGAACATATCTCTGCAGCTCGACTCGGTAGCTGACTCTAGTCCCAGACCTGATGCATTTTTTCTAACACATCTGTCCTGAAGGCAGCTGTGAGTGCTAGCTTAAATGCAAGTAGCCTCAGAAGCCTTTTTCTTACTGTTAAAGTTTAATTATTATGTAACTGCAGGAAAATTCTTATCTCTTGCTGAGCCAGTCTACTGTAACGCTTAATTAATGTTGATTATATCATTCTATATAGGTTGTACTACTCTTTCACCTTTTTTCTTGAACACTGTGCTATATATAGCATGAAGGGGTTATGTATTAAATCTTAAGTAGCTTTCAAGATAGAGTGACCCATATTTTAAGACCTAAAATTTAAGTTTGAATGAATATGCTTTTATCTTTGGAGGCATGACTGAGTGCAATCAAACACAAGGGCTTTGACTACATTTTAACAATAGATTGCATGTCAACACTTTGGGATGTCAAGTTTTAAAGTATAATTGCATGATGATGGTGTGGTGAAGAAATTAAACCTGCTATGCTCTCTGCTGCCTGCCAAATTCATGGTTAATTTCTCTAACATGCATTCATTAAGTTCAGCCAGACTATAGCCCTCAGGCCCTCATATTTTCTGTCTCTTCAACTGTTTTAGCAGCTGATTTGAGGGGCATGGAAAGACAATGGACTTCCACAGGGTATTTTGTGCAGATTTATACTATAGAAGGGACAGAGTATCTCAACTTTACTTTATATCAACACTCAAAATCAATTCAGCTCATACACAGCTGTGACTAGCACTTGGCAGACTATAAACTCTTCTTAGATACATGCATTTATTTAATTCCCTTGAGCCACAGAGAGTCTGTATAAACCTCTGTGAGAGAACTGCAGCATAAACTCTTGGTAATGCGACTGCAAGCCAAGCATCTGTTACTCTAGTCCCACTCACACCATAATCCCTTCATCACATACCAGCTCCAGGCATGCCAGGCGTCATGTTGGTACTTTATGCTAAAGCAGGGGGTGGGCAATTATTTCTTCCAAAAAAACACACAAGTAGCAATGATTGTTGGAGAGTGGCTGATTATTGGCTAAATAGATTTTTTTTTCCATATATAAATGTGATAAACACATAGTCACATGACCAGACCTCTTTACGTCCTGCCTGTAATGCTGGAGGTAAATGTCTGACACAAACCTGTACAAGAGGAAGTCAGTAAAATATTTAAATAAACAAATATAAATAAAATATGTTCTTTCAAGTGTCTTAAATTATTGTCAGACTAAACAAAACAATTTATTGTTTTGTTTAGTCTGACAATAATTTAAGAAGTAATCCCTGAGAGCATTATTCTCCACCAACAGAGCTCCCTAAACCTTAAATTCAGTAAATAAGTTATGACATTATTCCCACCAACGTGTGGCTTACGGCATCTGTTACACGATCCCCTGAGAGAAATGTTGGGATCTACTTCAGTGAGACTGCATCCAACCAGCTCAATATCTTATTTCCCTCAAAGCATGTACTCATTGCAATCAGAAACAACTTCAATTCCAGTTTCAAAATTATTTCTGTGTCCACTGACATTGCAATGATGATATGTTGGTTAGGCATTATTAAATGGTGGCTGCTAATGTAGCTGCCCAAACATGAACTGAGTTTAATTTGTCTTGGAAGTCAGACCTTTGTGCTGGAGTTCATGTCATACCAAAGTTGTTAGCGTTTTAGTTTCAAGCCATTTCAGTAATATTAGTGTATTTTTTAAAGCCATTTTTATTTTGCATTAGTTTCAGTTCCCCCATTTTCTAAGAAGCACAGAAAATAAATCTTGTTGAATTTGTCATATGTTGCTTTTTAAAAAGCAACAACTTCATGTTACACAAGGAAAAACAATCTGCCCGGGCTCCTGGCTAATTGAGATGAATGCCAAAGTAAAAAACAAAAAACAAAAAAAACAAAAAACAAAAAAAAAAAACAATTAAAATCTCGAAAGGGCCGTACACTGATAAATTTATACAAATTTCAAAGCTCATGCATGTTTTTGTAAGTTAGCTCTTCTGAGAAATAACAGTGAAAATCACCATGCTGCTTTTGTTGTAGGAGCATACGGTGTCTTCGAAACATTATCCACTGGAATTTGATCACCACCTTCATATTGAGGAACGTTATGTGGTTCTTGCTTCAGTTGATTGACCACAATATCCATGACAAAAATGAGGTATAAACATTTTTTTTTTACTAATAGTAATTACAATAGGAGAGAGAAATTACAAATGTCTATTGATGGCAGTAGCCTGTACAACATTAAATGGTTTCATAGTTATAATTTGATTACTTTTGGATAACTCTGTCTGTTTCTCTTTTCAGCCTTGGTGTCGATTAAGTACGACAATATACAACTACTTTGTTGTGACCAACTTCTTCTGGATGTTTGTTGAAGGATGCTATCTTCACACTGCTATTGTTATGACCTATTCCACTGATAAACTGAGAAAGTGGGTTTTTCTTTTCATTGGTTGGTGTAAGTATGCTCCTGGTTTTATGCCGTAAAGCTGAGCAAGTTGGCTTTCAAATTATATTAGTGTACAATGTTCATTAAAAAAAAATAAATAAATAAATAAATACAGGTTTAGAATGTCGAGACAATTGTTTAAAGATGAATTTTGGTATCAACATCTCCTCCATCCCACCAAACATCAAAAGCCATTTGTTCATAATACGGGGGACTTATTTTTAGTTATGAATACAGGAAACATCCTTTTTGTCTGAAATGTAAACTTGATTTGTGGACTATTCTATTCTATTCTATTCTATTCTGGCGTGGAACTGCTGTAGTAGGACTTTCCAGAAGTTCTGTTCTTGAGGTTCCTGTGACGTATTTTATACTGGCTAGAAAAAAAAAAAGAAAACTTTTTTTTTGTTTTTTACCTCAAGTAAAAATAGACTTCTTTAATTGTGGAGCATGTACAGCTTTACATAAGCAATAAGTTCAACCTTGTTCTTCTTTAAAATCAGTTTAACTTTGAGCAATGTCGTCATTAGATGTTCTGGTGTCTGATGGTAAAAAGCAGTTGACATCAGAAGTCTACAGACACGTTTGTACATTTTTGGAAAACAGTCACAATTATCACAGTTGCCAAAATAATAACTAGCCAACAAAAAGAGCTAGGAACATACAGACCGTTGTGTAAGTCAGCCAGTCTGAACTTGGGTTTTCATCATGTAGTAGACATGTCATCAAAGCTTATTTGCAACTACACAAAGTTGATGGATCTAAACATCCACAGCCTGACAGAAATGCATAAATTAATGTAGTTTGAGTTAATGCAGCTGAAGCACACCTCCTGGTTTGACTGCTCAAGTGTAGGCAGCTGACTGTTATTTCTGCCTCAACACTCAAGCGAGTGGAGTTGTTCACACTTCAACTGCCTTAATTCACTCATTCTACCCTACATCTTACATGTCAAAAGGGAAATTTGGGAACCAAGACGGAAATACTCGTTTAGCCGTACTTGGCAGAAGGAGGGTAGATCTTAAGTTTCCAGATAATTTTTGATTTAATCTATTTCTACTTTTGAAACGGTTAATGTTCAACATAGATTAGATTCTTAGAGTGCCTTACAGGAGCACTTAAATTCTTGGAATTATTTCACAGTTTATCACATGCAACTACATATCTTGACAAAATTTTTAACAGTGAAGCAGATGATTTGTGTTTTTCAACATTTATAAAAAACAAAACAAAACAAAAAAAACCACAAGTGTGGTAATTAACTGCTCTCAACATACTAATAAACAATATCCAAGTCATCCAAATAAATTCTGGAGCTACCAACTAACTCAATTAGTAACTGAATAGAGATCCACAGATGTGTCAACATGTAAACTATAAATCAATCACTCCACAGATCTCACCTTTAAGGGATCACAAGCCATGCAAGGAACAAAGCAAACAGTGGCAGTATAATGCTATAGGGATGCTTTTCAGGAACAGCACAGCTAATCAGAACTTTTGGGGAAAAAACGTGTCAATACTTGAAGAAAACCTTTTAGCGTCCTCTGAAGACACTTGAGATTTGAGCAAAGGTTCACCTTCCAGCAGGATACATGTACCCCAAGCGGAAACATCAATAGACATGCAAGAATGTCTCAAAGTCCTGACTCACACAATAGAGAATCTGTGGTAGGAGTCAACAGCTCATCTTCACATGTTCTCCAATCACTCTGACTTAATTTGAGCTCTTTTCAAAGGAGAATGGGGAAACATGTAAAGCTGGTAGAGCCATTTCAATATTTTTTTTCTCCATATCTCATCTATGTACTACTTTTTTTATTCCGTAAAATCCCAATTATTACGACACTTTTTGAATTTGACACTTTTGAATCAAAACATATTGTCTAGTAAACAATAAATAAATCATTCAAACCAAATCCATGATTTATTTGAGTCCATTGTTAAATAAACAACTTTGTTGTAATGAAAAAAAAAAAAAAAACAAACTTTTTCATTACTTTTTCAAGAGGAAAAAAAATATAAATAACTGTTCAAGTTTAAGCTCAGTTGGAGAAACTTTGATGTGCCTGGCATAGAATAGTTGATGAACATTCAAAGTTTAATTCATGTGACACTTGACAGATTTGTTTAAATGTTTTATTTGTTTACCATTTCAAACGGATAGGAGTCGAACTTAATATTAGAAAGTTTAAAGCATATGACAGAAATCTTTCTTAGATATTTACTATGTCAAAGCATCCTCAGTGTTTTCCTTACACTTTGGATCCATCATCAGTTTGAGAAAATTAGTTTTGGTTCCCATGATGTGGTTTATGTCTGTCGAGTGTCTTTAGCTGTAAAGTGCAGTTTTGGTGAAACCCTTTCAGAGAAGGACAACAGGTAGATGTTTTCATAATGCTGGCTTTTCTTTAATATCACCATTAACTGATTATTCTGACCTAGTTTTTTCACTGCTGCTGTTTGAGATTAATGGAGATCATTACTTCAAAAGTCAGAAGAGGACTTTTAAAATGAACAAGTGCCAACATACTGTTAAAACAAAATATGTAACTTAGATCACCTTTTCTGTCTGTATTCCAGGCATTCCATGTCCAATAATTGTGGCTTGGGCTATCGGAAAATTGTATTATGAAAATGAAAAGTAAGTATTTTTTGTTTGCATTAACATGACAAAAGAAAGGAAAGATTGATGCATTTTTTTCATCTAGATTTGTTTAAGATTGTTTAAATGTGCATTTCATTTCTTTTTGTATTTTTTTTTTTTTTTTTCTTTTTTTTTTTTTGCTTTCAACAGATGCTGGTTTGGTAAAGAGCCTGGGAAATATATGGACTACATTTATCAGGGACCAATTATTCTTGTGCTTCTGGTCAGTAGCTGCAAGAATCTTCAACATGTTGAAGATTTACGTTTTGCACTAGAAAAAAAATTCAATACCATCAGCACTTTTTTTTTTTACACCTTCTTACTGTGAGTTTTGTTTGGGATGGCTTACCAGAGTTTTACTTATTTTTTACACTGAAAGTTGCAAATTATGTGGAGAAACAAACCCAAATCACTTGAGAACACGGTAGAAAATGTTGCAGTAGACTGATGACCTATGTTTGCAACATCAAACTCAGGCATCACTTCATATAATGCAATATCCACCAAAGAAGACAGTAATGAAAGAAGCTTTAACTAGAGTTCAAGTGATGTTTTATTTGATGATATATCAAAATAGGACAGCAAGTCTGAAAAAATGTAAGTGATTATTATGGCACGTAGGATCTAACAAACAGGTGATTATTAAAGTGCTCTTTGAAGAGCAATGTCAACCTATATTCACCACAGTGACAAATGATTATTTGCGACAAAGTAATTATATGTGGTCAAACTAAAAGTGTGGAAATATTTCCACAGATACAATTTCTGCTGCAGTTCTGAACAGCTTTGTTATTCTAATGTGCATAGACATTCATCTGTTATCCTACAAACGACTGTCACAAGAATATTTTATACTGAGCAGCAATGCTGTGATTTTTGTAAGCCTGCCTTTCTCCTCATATCAGTCAGCGTTTTACTCATGACAGTTTAATTGCACTAAGTAGTTGGTGACATGTTATTTTGAGGACACTGTTTTGCCACTTAAAATTTACAATTTGATCTGAAGTCAGGTTTCTCGTAGGACGTTGTTTGACCCTAAAAAGTCACATTAAGCCAAACCTACTCATGTGGTAGAAGGCTAAAATCCTCAGACAGGATCTGTGCTCAATCGTTTCCTTTCTTCACCGAGCTTATTTGGCTGCCACATGGAGAAAAAACATTTTGCCCACAGCGCATTTATGCTAAATATTTAGGAGGAAAGTAGACAGAAGTCGTATCAAAAGTATTAACATAACAAAATAAAGCACTTTGTTACCCAACAAACATTATGCTCACAAACAATGGTCTGACTGTATACTCACTTCATTTGTATGTGTCGTGTTGTTGCATAAACTGTGTTGTAGTCTTCTCCCTCAGCTCCAGTTTGTTTATTGCTTGCATATACAGCAATTTTATAAATTCCTCTTAGAAAGTAAATTTTGGTCAGAAAACAAACTGCTTTCTGTAGTCATAGAAAGCACAGACATGGTTCAGGACCATACTCTTCAACACACTAAATCATCTTCTTCTGTGTGTGGTAGAGCCCTTATATAGTAGAAGCCATGGCCCAAAAGTTTTTTTTTTTCTTTTTTTTTTTTTTAAACCTGATAAGCACATCATACAATGTCTGCATTGAAAAACAACATTGTGACTTCTGTTTTATGGCTCATCATTTTTTATTTATTTTTATTTTTTTTGCTACTTGTTTAAACACAAATGTGAGATGTTTCAAAAATAGACCCATGAATAAAATTGTGAAACAAAAGCTATTCCTTTATGGCATCCAGATTTCGGATCTATAAAGTGAATCTTACTATTTCCGAATAAAAGAAAAAAAAATACTTTTTGTTGGACAGTTTTATACCACCCCTTACAATCATGTATTATTATTGTAACTACCTTGGATGCTCTGATATATCATGTTCCTCACTGCTTTGCTTTGAGTTGTGCTTTGACTTGGGCTGCTCTGTGCTCTCACAGCTTACAGACAGCTCACTGAGCTGTCTGTTCTCACCAGATAATTGTCCTCTGTGTTCTTCACGCCAGGTCATTACCACTGAGCTCAACTATGTTTTGTTCTCCCTTTTTGCTAGATAAACTTTGTTTTCCTCTTCAACATAGTACGAATTCTCATGACCAAACTGAGAGCTTCAACCACATCAGAAACAATTCAGTACAGGTAAGAAGGTTTTGTGTATGCTTGTGTCGATTGTCACACTTTCTACTTCTTCGGCTTTATGTGAAATAAAAAACAAACAAACAAAAAACTGTTAATTTTGGCTCTGAAATACACTTTGTGGTATACATCATAAACATGCTTATGCTCAGACTGTACACTAAAACACATTATGGATTATTTATTTATAAACTGCAAGTGTTGACACCTGGGATTAAAACTCCAAATCATCAGATCCTAGTTATCTTCTCTACTTGCAAATTAATACATAAACACATCATAAACAGTGATAGCTGCACTGCAAATTTGTCTTCAGGTCTGCTGATGTTTCTGAAAAATCTGATGCCTATTCACATTGATCAGTAAGACAAATACGCAAGAGAAAAATCCTTAGTCAAACTGATTTGCTTTGGATTTATGTTTCATTTTGCCCCTAGCAAGTGTCACCCTGCCCATGTCAAAACCCTTCACTGTGTCCGATAATCAAAGGCCAAGGAATGCAACCCAAAATTTTTCCCATACGCTTTCTTTGAAAATAAAAAAATATATATATATTGTCATCTTACCATTTAAAAATTGCTGCAAGAAACTCTGTCATCAAATTAATCTGCCATAGTAATTGTTCCCACTTCATCTTCTTGCCTTCTGTGTTTGCAGCTGTGTTTTCATGGTTCAGTCACCTTACTAAGAACCAATGGCAGGCATCAGGTTTGGATTTAATGCTGTGAACACAGTAGAAAGGTTTTGGATTAGATGTGTCTGTCATGCTTAAGTCCCATATCAGAGTGAGGTTGGGGTAATTACAGTGCTTTTTGCAAAAAGGCTCTTTTATTTAGTCCCACCATTAACCACTAGAAAAAAGTGGAAAATCTCTCATGTGCCTGATTGCTAAAACAGCAAAGCTTGTTCTCAACAGCTGCTATCAGCGTACATTTTTTTTTTTTTGACTTCCCATGGGAACATGTTGAAGAAAACAAAGTGTTCGTGGCATCACAGCTCAGACTATTTATATTCAAATTCAAGGTTTTGAGGCTGGCTGTGACAGGAGTTTGTTTTTGTGGGCTTTGAAGAGATAAGCAGATGGTATAGCAATATGTAAAGCATAATCTGTATAGCATGTTTTCTTTTAAATGTCATCTCCTAATTGTTTCCAATCTGAATTTACATTTGTTTCTAGTGTTTATCAGAAATAAACATTAGGATTGATATAAATGTCAATCCCCTACTGACATTCATATCACTACATTTTTATTTTGTTTTGTTTAAAAAAGCTTACTTAAAAGCCCTCCTACAGTGGAGCGTTGTTCATTTGGTGCTGAATGAGAGTTATATAATTGTGATATACCCTAAATTAATTTGCATTTTTAACTGCTGACCTTATTGATTTGTTTTCTACTAATAAGGAAAGAAATGCAGGACCATTTGTTCATTTTATCTTGGTGCAATCACAACCTTCAATGTATTTTAAATGGATTTCATGTAATGGGTCAACACTAAGTAAGTCATGATTGTGAAGTGTAAGAAAAAGCACAAGTGGTTTTCAGAATTTAAAAATAAAACAAAACATAACTGAGGCAGAACACAGATAAACAACTGATCAAAATTCAACTACTAAAAAAGTCAAACAACCCAGGAGAGAGAAGCAGATGGTACAAGCAACATGAAGAGCCAGAATCAGGAGAGCTGACGCAAGTGAAAACTGACTCCCCTCTTTATTGCCTTTATCTGCTCAGCTCTCCCTCTCAGTAGTTCTGCTCTGCTTACAGCAAAACTCTGTTTTAATTGGTAACATGGTGGCCTTGTGGCCAATCATATGTGAGGATATAGGATCATACCATTAAGTGAAAACGGGGAGGTGGACAGACGTGGGAGTCAAGTGGAGAATTTTTCTGTCACCTCAGTCAGTAGACAGTGGAGAGGAGGAAAGCTCATCAAAAAAAACCTCTTAAATATAACTGACACCCATAAATGAAGCAACATCTGGCACCAGTTTAATATAAATAAAATAGAAATTAATGATTATTAAGGTTCTGTTTGGTAAATTTGCCTGCAAAGTAAAACAACACAGGCTTGTTAATTTATTTTTGTGTTTGATGGCAATTAAACGTTTTATTAAAATGTTACACAAAAGTAATAATTGCTGCTTTA